GTCTTTCAAATGAAAATAAAAGACAATGGAAGCAGCTTGGTTTTCTGCAACATTTCGAATGCACATCCCACAGAGATGCTTAGAATGCCATCTCATATGTCCCCATTTGCAAGTATCAGAACTGAAGCATGGCAGATTCTGAAGCCCTCTTCAAAAGTCAGCTCAAGATCTTTCAGCCACCTTTTCCTGAGCATGGTGGTTCTGATCCTTAAGGCAATTTTATCTTTCACACACAAAGTGATATCACTCTAGTTATGTATATGTTTACATGTTACATCATGGTAGCATGGCGCCCAACTTTGGTAATATTATATGTGGAAGGCTGTTTTGGCATTGAGCAAAATATACATTAATAAAGAATAAGAAATGTACAATTTCTGACTGCAGTCCCCCAAACTACAGTGAAGGTTTCCTCAGAGGGTTCCTTGACTTGTGGAAATAGAGTGTGCCTTATATAAAGGGTGCTTTAGAAGCTCATGTGTGTGTACGTGGGCTATTCTTTGTAGCCTGTTTGAGGTGTTTCCATGTTTCAGCAACTGTGCCACCTTTATATAATTGAGGTAACTTCTTCAAAAGGAAAAAAGTGAGGGAGGAAAATGGGCTGAAGTGCCATGTCCCAGACTAAACACATGTAACACTGGTCATCTAGGTAGAAATTGGCGACTATCAGTTCCTCAGCATGTGCTTAATCCAAGCAAGGGGAGGCAGATGCAATAGAAGCCATTGTTCCAGCTGGCTGTTTTCCATTGTCACCCCATATTGCAAAATTATTCCAACACTGACTTCAAAGAAGAAGGAAAGACAGAAGAATTTGCCCGATAAATGCTGTCCTTCAACATATTGACTTCTATTACACTGCTTGCAAAGAACCAGTGAAACATCTCAATCCATAGAACTGGTGCACCACCCTCTCCTCATGTCTTTAGGAAAAACAGTTTGGAAGCAGACAGAAAGAGAGTAAAGACCTCTTTAAAAATGTTAAGCCCATGAATAGGGTAATTATCATCATCATTATTATTGCTGAACATTAAAATGCAAGGAGTGACTTCTTGGAAGTCACGGGGACAGTTGCTTTGATGTTGACAAAGGAGAAGCCTTCCCCACCAGACAAGTCGGTTGTAAGCATATATATTCTGATGACGGATGGAAGGAAGGAAAGGAATCACTTTGGAATTAGCATAGCCTGAGAGCATGTTCCCGCTTTCATAGGCCACCTTTGATCTGTTTGAAATGTGACAGCTCATTGTAAGGGCAATATTGCTTCATATAAATCATTTTTGATAGAATGTGCTTTTGCTTCTTAGAAAAAAGAAAAGGAAAGAAATATCTTCCACTGAATGTTTAAAGGATAAAAGGCAACAGAAATAGACTGGGGTGTTTAACATCAACTTATAATTTATTGGCATGGATCTGATTTTGTGGCAAAGCCACATTAAGTATTGTTAAGGTAATTTATGAGGCATAAGCTTTTCCTGGAGCCCAAGAAAAGTGAGCCTTCTAGCTAGTTGAAAAGAAGCCATCAAGTAATTGTGAATTTCAGACTTGTAGAGTAATCAACAAACAAGCAAAGCAGCCCTCCTTGAGGAACAGCCATAGCTGAGTGGTAGAGCATCTGCTTTGCTTGCAGAAAGTCTTGTGTTCAACCCCCATCCAAACAGGGATGAGAGAGATTCTTGACTGAAACCCTGGAGAGCCACTGGCAGTCAGTGTAAACAATACAGTGGTGCCCCGCAAGACGAAAAACTCGCTAGACGAAAGCGTTTTGCGGTTTTTGAGCTGCTTCGCAAGACGAATTTCCCTATGGGCTTGCTTCGCAAGACGAAAACGTCTTGCAAGTTTGTTTCCTTTTTCGTAAAACCGTTAAAACCCAAGGTGCATTGCTTGAAGAGGTGCAGTTGCGACTTGACTTCGAGGAGCAACTCATAGCACGTGGTGTGGTAGCCTTTTTTGAGGTTTTTGAAGACTTTGGCGATTTTTGAAGCTTTTCCAAAACTTCTTTTGCAGCCATTTGGTAAGTTAAACTTTTAAAACTTTTTTGGGGGTTTTTGGATTTTGGGTTGGGGTGTTTGGAATTCAAGGACTTGGTGTTGGGGAGGGGTTTGCAAGAATCTGGAAGCTAGTGTGGTTTTTTTTCTGAATTTTTATGATTTTTATTGTTCCTTCAATTTTTGAATTTATTGTTCCTTCAGTTTTTGAAATGCTCTTTACAGTATGTGTGACTTTAAAGAGCACTTAATAAACTCTTGTTGTACCGAATTTGGCTTTGTTTGGACTTTTTTTGACCATAGGAACACATTAATTGAATTTCAATGCATTCCTATGGGATTTCGTGCTTCGCAAGACGAAAAATTCGCTAGACGAAAAAACTCGCGGAACGAATTAATTTCGTCTTGCGAGGCACCACTGTACTGAGCTGGGTGTACCCAAGAGTCTCACTCTGTATAAGGTAGCTTTCTACATTCCTATGTTTTTGTGTTCTATGTTCTAAAGGATATAGTAGCCATTGCTAAATAAAATGATGAAACCTGACTGGAAACTGCTTTATGCCTTAGAAGCTGCGCCCCATGATTTCCATTGTGTAGTTTTGTGCCTTGTGTGAGAAGAAAGTATTGTTACAAACTTTGAACTTGCCCTAGGGGTGAGAAATTCCAGGGGCAGTACTCCTTGAATTTAGCTTCCTTTTGATGGAGTGATGGCTGGAGACTTTTTGTAATGTTTAGTTTGTGGAGCTACAGGACAGACTAGAATGTTAGTTAGTTAGCATGTAGCAGATCCATTTCATATCCTTAGAGCAGGGTGGTCCACCTTTTCATACCAAGTGGGCCACAAGAGTGCTTTGATACAGAACCCATGGGCCACACACTGCCTTGCTGTGCATGGGGTGGGAAGAAGTGAGGCCAAACGGGACACTGGGCTTTGGGAAGGAGGCACGAGGGCTCTGGCAGGATCCTAGAGCCCTCCTACCTCCTTCCCAAAGCTGGGAAAGTACTACTTAGGCTTTGGTAAGGAGGAGGGAGGACTCTAGGACCCTGTCAAAGCCCTCTTGCCTCCTTCCCAAAGCCAATCGCCTCACTTACCTGGCTTTGGGAAAACAGTGTGAGGGCTAGATGGGGCATCAAGTGTTGTCAAGGGTTGCGTTGGACCACCCTGCCCTAGAAAGGCATCCTGCACCACAAGGTGTATCTCTGAACTGCAGTTTCTTCACATGCCTATAGGTTGCACCCTCCGCTTCCAGGTTATAGTGACCTCTTCCATTTGAAACCCTCAGGAAGGTTCTCCAGCTATTTCAATTAGCTCCCATTGAGAAGACATCTATCAGTCATTCTAGGCCATTGGCAAGTCATTTGCCTGACAAAGACAAAGCACAATTGGCCAGTCAGCTTTCATAGCATTATTAGCTGAAGCTATGAAGTACAGTGGTACCTCAGGATACGAACGAGATCCGTTCTGGAGCCCCGTTCGTATCCAGAATGGAACACAAGATGTGGCGGCACGTCTGCGCGTGCGCGAGTCACGTTTTGCCACTTCTGCGCATGCATGTGATGTCATTTTGAGCAACTGCGCATGTGCGAGCGGCGAAACCTGGAAGTAACGCGCTCCATTACTTTCGGGTTGCCGCGGAGCGCAACTCGAACGCGCTCAACCCGAAGCACATTCAACTCGAGGTATGACTGTATGAGTGCTTCATATTTAGGAATCTTTTTTTCTTGAAAAGGACATAAAACACAATCTTGAAGTATGTTCACAATAAAGAAGAATCTGCCCAGTTAATTAAGGCTCATATTTTTTCAGGAACAGCAGAGATATAGCACCTTTCTGGGGGAGAGGGAGGCATCTCCTATTCATTCTCCCCTGAACAATATGCCTGGAATACTCTCTTAAAATAAACTGTGTCTACCACAAAAAATGGCCATGAGTGGGGGATGCTATGATAGATTCAATTTTCCAATTTAACTGAGTGTATAAACAGGTTCAGAGTAATGAGACATCAGAGCAAAAGAATATCTAGTGAAGCAGGACTCTATGTGTCTCTGTTAGCCTATTGTAAAAGACTGTTCGCTGAAGTCTATTATAGAAATAAGTATGCAGACTTTCCTAGAGAAATCAGCATATGGGAACTGTTGTCAGTCTCCCTGCTGTACTGACACATCTACTGTATTTAACATATGGGACCTATCAACCCAACTGCACAGACATATCTACTGTATAGAGCATCTGGGACCAATCACCCATCTTCCCTGTTCTTTGGCTTTTCACTAAGGGAAATGTAACAAGTCATGTACTTAAGTGAGAGGGTTCAGGGTCATGAATCTTCCTAATCAAGGTCAATAAAAAGCACATTGGGGACTTTATAATATTGTTTGTATACTTATGTATAGGCACGCAGGTTCTGTTGTTATTGTTTTTTTTACTCAAGATCCTATTGCATTTTAAGCCACACATAGGATGGTAGAAGAGCCCGAAAGAGATTTTTTTTCTGTACTGTACTACATAAATTTTTTCAGGGGGGAGGGGAAGTGTAAAAGATTATATGAGAAACTTGCATTCTCTTGTAGTTCTGTACTCTAGCCACAAGACAGATGAGAAACGCCATGAAAATTAATCTTCACTATGGTTCAAGACTTAAAAACCAGACACACAATATATTTAATTCAATAATGGTGAAATGGAGTAAACCTATGGCATGGCTAGAATTTCCACTTTTCTTCCTGACAGTATTTATGTGATTTTAATAGTTGCATGGCAGGCAAAGCATGTGACTGATAAACCCTTTCCTGACATGGTTGATACACTGATGTGGAAAAGTGAGTGACCTGCCAGGAAAAAAGGGTTTGCAATCCTACCTATAGATATGAGTGCTAAGATTTTTTGGGGGGGGGGGGACTGGGAAAGAATTTTTTCACATGTCCAGGTTATACGGTTGTTCATATGGCACCTTCTGAGAACAAATGAAGGCCCCAACAGATGCAAGCGATTTTATCTGCAACCCTCCGTATGTTGTCAGACAGATAGTTCAGTTGGTAGAGCATGAGACTCTTTATCTCAGGGTCGTGGGTTGGAGCCCTACGTTGGGCAAAACATTCCTACATTGCAACAAATCTACAATTCTATTACAGTGGTACCTCTAGTTATGAACTAAATTCATTCTGGAGGTCTGTTCTTAACCTGAAACTGTTCTTAACTAGAGGCGTGCTTTCGCGAATGGGGCCTCTTGCTGCTGCTGCTGCGCCGCCGGCACACGATTTCCGTTCTCATCCTGGGGCAAAGTTCTCAACTCGAGGTAACTCTTCCAGGTTAGCGGAGTTTGTAACCTGAAGTGTTTGTAACCTGAGGCGTTTGTAACTCGAGGTACCACTGTATTCTAAGGCTCTTTATTTCCCCGACTGGATAGCTCAGTTGGTTAGAGTGGGGTGCTGATAATGCCATGGTTGCAGGCTTGATCCCCAAATGGGACACCTGGTTTTCCTGCCTTCACTGTCACTAGGTGGGCTCAATGATGAGCCCTCACATGTAAGATGTGATGTGTGAGAGTGCATGTGCACAATCACGGTACCTTTATTCTGTGAACCTGCGGGTATAGGGTGGTATATAAATTCAATAAATAAATAAATACCTTGGGACACATTCTTATACTGAAGATCCACCAGATGATGGGGTTAAAATATTGGTGGGAAAAGTCTGGCGGATTGGTTTGGCCCTTCACTGGGTGCTACAGTTTAGCATTACACTTGAAAAAATCTCAGAGCCTCGTCTGAGTTCCTCCATGTGACACGAACACCCCAATGTAGGATTGATGCTTGTGATGGAAACTGCAGCATGATCTGAGAAGCACAGCAGAATAAAAAATGTCAACGTCTATGTGGAAATGGAGCAAGTTGGCACTGGCCTACCCTGTCTCCTAATCTGCCCAATTATCCCAGGTATAAACCATAATAGAAAGTGCTTAAGAAGCCATAATCACACAGTGCAGAAAGAGGAGAGCCATGTGGTTGCTTTTTTGTTTTGCTTAATTGATATAATTAGCAGCTTCTTGGTGCCAAGGGAGCTGAGTTTTATATTCGCTCCATCTCTTCCTCAAGAAGAACTACATTTGGGAGCAATAGCAGTTAGTGAGCTTGAACTCTGCTACATGTTTTTATGGCAATCCAACTTTATTTCAGAAAGCAAGCAAGCCAGGATACCAAACTACTTCTGGAAGCCAGTTTTCAGTTTATTTATGTCTGTCGGTGTTATTGTTTTCACTCCCACTTTCCCTTTGTGGTGAAGGTTCCAGGGCAGCTTTGCAGGATCGGTTTTTCTTCTGAATAACAGAGCAATGGAGAATTCTGGTGCATTTTGCAATAACTGTTTATTTACAAATGCGCAGATCGGGGAGGCAGCAAGCCAGTAGGACCATGTAGGTGGTACAGGTTCCAAAATGGCACCAGTTCCTAAGCAACAGCATCATCTCTAAACAGAAAGCCTGTCTCTGCAGCCAACCCCTGAAACTTAGAACTTCTTTTCTCTTCTTCCTTTAGTCCAATACAAATTGCTACCTTTCCAGGTCTCTGGCCGACCCGTTGCACAACCCCTTCCTACATCCAAATATCTGAAGCAATCTGCTTCCCTGGTTCTCCATTCATTGTCCGTGTCCAAGTCACAAACCAAAATAGAAGTTTTGAAGAATAAAAGGGCAGCATGACCTGTATTATTACTGGGTTCAGGGGGACTCATCTGTCTCAGAAAAACCCTGCCGTTAAATAATAAACTGGCTTTTATAACCATACACTCTGCAGTATTTTAGTCTTTATATTTAAAGACTTACCTGATGCAGCTTTCTCTGAAAACATAAGGTAGCTATTAGGGGCTTCATCAAGGTTATCTTATAAAACCATATGTAGACCCTTCATTTGTTGAGTACTGGAAATTGCATAATTCTTTGGATTTACAAGATGTAGTTAACATGACTCCGTTGTACTTGGTGGTTTTCCAAGTACTCAGACCTCCAAATGATACAAGTGAGGGAAGGGAAACACTGGGTTATCACCCTCTGCTAAACCTAGCCATTGTCATGGGCCGACTACTAGTTTGAGTAGACTCACAAGACTTTCAACAGGTGTTTTCCCAAGAAACAGATGCCCCCCACAAATAATTCCCAAACTGAGATGCATGCAAGGCACGAGAAAGCAAAACCTATGGAGTACTTTATAACAAATTGGCATGCTGAGGATATGATATTATTCCATTGGCATTCTGTAAAGTTTATTTTCTTTACTAAGAGTTCTATTCAATTCCTTTTGTGCTGGAGCTATTAGTCCCATTGCAAGTTGTTACTGAACACCTATCTCTATGGAACAGCTTTCCAAAGCAACTTGTTCCACCTTGTCTTCACTACACTTTAATGGAAGCAGGGGTGGGGCAGACCTCATTTCCAACCCAAACACATATAGGAAAATAGTAGGTCACAAAGTAGTAAAACCAGCGTCTACAAGCAATGTTTTGGAGAGCCCATTCTTCTCCTAGCTGCAGTTGCGGCTTGAGCCAGAAAACTAAGATTCTCTAAAGGCTGATTGAAGTGGCCAAAAGATACTACAATAGAACACAAGACACATTCCCCCTAAGCGCCAAGAAAATGTTTAATTTTCACTTGCATTAGTATTGCACTTAGGAGGTTTTGCAGATTATTTCTAGGACAACTGAAACATTCATGTTAGATGAAACAGTATCTACATTTCAGAATTTACCATACAAACAAAAGATTAAGAAATTCAGCTTGTATTAGGTGAATGAAGGATTTCCCCTTCTCCTCCATTTGCTGACTCATTCAGATGACACAGTAGCAGAAACAGGTATCAAATCCAGCTCTTTAACTGGGCTTAAATCCTTCTTTTTGAGCTCTTCAGCTTTTATGGAACTAAAGAATTCTGATTAAAAAACCCCAACTACTTCTCATCGGTGTCACATTTGACTTATACTACTGCAGTTCCTAGGGACGCGGGTGGCTCTGTGGGTAAAACCTCAGTGCCTAGGACTTGCTGATCGTATGGTCGGCGGTTCGAATTCCCGCGGCGGGGTGAGCTCCCGTCGTTCGGTCCCAGCTCCTGCCCACCTAGCAGTTCGAAAGCACCCTTAAGTGCAAGTAGATAAATAGGTACCGCTTTATAGCGGGAAGGTAAACGGCGTTTCCATGTGCTGCGCTGGTGCTGGCTCGCCAGAGCAGCTTTGTCATGCTGGCCACGAGACCCGGAAGTGTCTTCGGACAGCGCTGGCTCCCGGCCTCTTAAGTGAGATGAGAGCACAACCCTAGAGTCGGACACGACTGGCCCGTACGGGCAGGGGTACCTTTACCTTTACCTTTACTGCAGTTCCTATACCAAAACTGCAATTTTTATTTTGTTTTGTATTATAAACAAACAAACAAAAGTGAACCAAACCACAACCTGCCATTCCACAGGAAATGATGTTCAGATATTTTATTTATTACTTGATTTGGGGAAGAGGATTCTGAAGACATCATGGCAGTTCAAGCTAGCCTTCAATCTGTTGTGTAAAGGGTAGAGCTGGGGGAGAATTTCAGTTCATTTCACATTTAAAGGTGAACCTACCTAATTACATCCCAAAACTATACAGGAACCAAAACATAACCCCATTCTTCAAAATTTACACAAAATTTTGCACTGCAACTCTCCAGCCAATTATGTGTACAAAATGCATATACTAGGATAAAGTTTGCATAAAAATGCATTTGTTAGTGAATATAGCATGCAAACAGAAAATGGCATTGCAAAAATGTGTTTATTAGGCAATCTTGCATACAGAAATGTGTATATTAGGAGATATTTGCACTATGATGCTGATGAAATTTCTTGGGGACGTTTTTAATTAAAAAAAATCACAAACTGGCGTGGAAATGCGGAGAAGTAAATTTAAGATTGGAAACATGGGAAACAGAGAGAAACCAAAATTGACAGTTTCATCAATTCATCCCTAGTAGAGGGGAAAGGTTATTTATTTTAATAACAGTATATCGTGAGGAATGACAATGTACATCAACAGCAACAGCAGAAGAATTCAGAAGAGCATAACTGTGCTTCCTATAAACTGACTGCACAGCACCAGTATACTGTAATTCTGAGCAAAGCCCCAGACACTTTGCAAACAAAGAAGATCAACTAGTCAGATGTTTGAATACTGTAATAAGGAGAGATGAATTCTGCATTTTTTCACCTGAAGTGGCTAATGTCGCTTCTGCCAAGGTGCTTTTTCTTTGATTTGATTTGAGTTTGGAGGACTGATGCAGAATTGCCCTAGAATATCTGTGTTACATAAACGGAAGCCACTGTGTGGGATCGCGGCAGCTGTACGATGTGATTTTGTTGAGATCCACCACCTACACAGGAGACCAAACAGTATTATCAAAAGAATTTTTATGCTATATCATTCCAGAGGTATAAACCTCACACCCTCTCTTTCCATTTCCTATCAGGTCAAATCAGCAGGAAGCACGGATATTCCATCAAAGGAAGCAAGAATGTGTAGTCATTTGCATATGTCAGTCGTGCCTCCTGACCCTCTATGCAGGCCACTGGTGCTGCAGTAACTTGTTCAAGTCTTTGACCATTTATCAACAGGACACTTTCTGCACTGTGCTATGTGCACGCATGCTGTGTTTGATTGACTTGTCTGTTTATTTCCTTTAGGCGTCTGGATGCCAATTTGATCTCTGTGGTACCTGAGAAGAGCTTTGAGAGGCTGCCCTCCTTACGCCACCTTTGGCTGGATGATAATGCTCTGACAGAGATCCCTGTCAAAGCACTCAACAACCTGCCGGCTCTACAGGCCATGACACTGGCCCTCAACCAAATCTGGCACATTCCTAACTACGCCTTCCAGAACCTCACCAGCCTTGTGGTACTGTACGTGCCCCCTTTTACTTTCCGTTTATTCTTTCGTTCCTTCTTTCAGAAGCCCATTTCTCATAAAAACAATGTACTGTTTAGACAAGCAGGAGATAGTTGCTTGATCAGTGTTTCAGTCTGGGCCGTGTCTCATAAAGGAAATCTCCTTAGTCTACGTAGCAAGTTCATAAAGGCATG